TTTTTTTTTTTTTTAATTCGATGTATAAAGTGTTACATATTAATGACTCTTAACGTAGATGGATTTTGTATCACTGCTTGCCTTGTTCTCCTATATTTTTTCTAGCCCACTTTGTTGGACATATTAGCATAACATTATGTTTTATTTACTGCAGTATTAATCAATGAAGATCTACCTTAGGATCATGATAGAAGTTTTCGCAATTGTTAGGACCTTACATCCGAAAAATATTCCATATGAAGTGGCAGAATGTGTGCCAACTGCCCAGTGCCCCTGCTATAAGCTGATTTTAATATATTCTACAAATTTTCGAATGTCGCTATTTGATCAATTAGACATGTCGTTTCAAAGAGTTCAGGTTAAACTACGCAATATATTTTCCATCATGGAAAATCGTCAGCTTCGGAAGCTGTATGACTACCTCAAAAGTAAACTGGCTAACTGACCGAAATGGTTCACCAACTTTACACAAAATTTCCGTAACTCAACTTTTGCCTATGTTCAATTGGATCCTGAATTAAATTACAAGATTCATTTTAGGTCCTAAATAATGTAGAACGTCTATCAAATAACAAAGCTGGGTCTGAGTAAAATTTTTTTATTAAAATTATTAATTTATCGCTTAGTTGACGCACCTTTTTCTTTTTTCTTTTCTTTTTTCTTTTTTTAAATTCTTTTGTAATTCTTTGTGTTACAAAATTTTAATCTAAATAATGGAATGGTTATTTTGTCCGTTTTTAATCTTTGAATATTGTTGAAATATGGAGCACAAATAATGTACAGTCAACAACAACATATTGATAATCAACGAGAAGATAGTTATCAGGAGAAGCATGATGGTGAAGGGTAGAAATGTCATTGAAGGCCATTCTGTTAATTTTGTTACTTAGCATTCTTTTCTTTTCCCTTTTCTGTTAGATTCTTTTGTATAGCATCTTCTTTGTGAAAGTATTCTAGAGAGGGGGATGTTGAAATATGGAGCACAAATAATGTACAGTCAACAACAACATATTGATAATCAACGAGAAGATAGTTATCAGGAGAAGCATGATGGTGAAGGGTAGAAATGTCATTGAAGGCCATTCTGTTAATTTTGTTACTTAGCATTCTTTTCTTTTCCCTTTTCTGTTAGATTCTTTTGTATAGCATCTTCTTTGTGAAAGTATTCTAGATCCTTCCCATTCACTGTATATATATGTGTGGAACTGATCTATTGTAATCACTTGAAGACATTTTGAATAAAATCATTCTTCAAGCTTACATCTAGTTCATTCTGCCTTTTTGCAAAGGGAGCAATTTATTCCCTATTTTCTTATAGTGACTGGTGGCAAGGAGTTGAGGGTGGGTGGTGGGTGATAGCTGAAGGGCTACTGGTTTAGTGATTATAGCTCTAATTTTTTGGTTTGGGTGGGTGCAGTGGGATAAAGAAGGAGATTAATAGTTTTTTTCCTTTTCTTTTTATTTTGTTTTAGTTATTTTAACTGTTTCATAGAGTTAAATGGAAAAGTTACCTTTTTACACTTTTAACTCTTGTTTGATCCCCATTAAATTAAATTACATTACATTCCATTTTTCTCTCTCCTATTTTCAACCAAACAATCTTCCATAAAATGATATTATACGTAAATCGAAAATTTTTCCTTCTTTTTCAGCCACTCATTTTTCTAAAAATACTATTCCTCCCATTTTCATTTTCAAATAATGGGAATCAAACAGGGGCTTAAATTGGTCAAAATTGATCAGAATTCAATTTTATTAGTCAACTAATGGCCAAATTGGACGGTTTCCGTCCATTTGGACCTCTACTACGAATTTATGAAAGGTTTGGGATCGCTGTTGTAATTTTCTTTTATGTTTGTGGTTTGTTCTAGCACAATTTGAATGGGCCGGGCTTATATCCTAACTAGAAATCATTTTAAATTGGGACCCGGCCCTCTGCAATCTCCATAAAGAAACCTCAAATTTCAAACTAGCCGTTGTGATTTGTAAACCAAAGCTCGACGCTCTCTTTTTGTGTCTCACTTATGTAAATCTCTCTCTCTGAACTCACCTTCTTCATCACGCTTCTATAAGCTTCGTGCTTTTCACTGTTTCTGTGTGATTTGCAAGGTACTACAAAAATGTTTACAGAAGGTTTAGATGAAAAGGCTTTGAATTGGGTAAAGAAGGTAATGTTTTTCGTTTATACCTTCTTAAGATTCTCAGTAAAGTGCTTATCAGTAGGAAATTAGTACTTTTTCTTTCCATATTCTTGAATATCATGAATATATTTTGGTTGAATTCAATTTATTTTCAGGGATCAGATAGGGAACAAAATGTACCATGGACTGAGAAGCTAGACAATAGATACCCACTACCAAAATCGCCATTAGCTTATAGTTCTAGTGGTTACACATCTGGCCATGGGTTGCCTCCATTGAAATTTCACCCTGGTCTTTTAGGACCCCGCAGCACCATTTCCTTAAGTGTAGGCAGCGATGAGGAGGACTCTGATGATTACAATGATAATGGGAGTGAGAGCGTGGGATCTGGCCCGGATGAAATTTATGGAAATCATTCTGATGAAGAGATGATTGAGAGGCCAGTGATTAAGGGTTTTGATGAAGGGATATTCAATTTGAATTCGAACACAGCTTTGAATCATAGATATGGATCTACGATAAATAGAGGGTTGTTGAAAGAGGATCTTAAACTTGAAGTGCCTGGGAATGTTAGAAGATTTACTGGCGGTGAATGGAGTTTTGGAGCAGTTTCAGATGGAAGTTGCCGGTTGCACGAAAAGATTCAACCTTGCAGTGCATATGTAAGTATCATCTTATCTTTTTCTCGAGCAGAGTCATTTAGAGATTTAGAAAAAAAAAAAAAAAAACTATTATGAAGATTATAGAGAACTGAATACTATTTTTGAACCTTCCTAGTTAATGGAATTGACAATTGTTAAATAATTTCAGGGTACACCTATTGGTAACTTAAATGATATGGCAGAATTAGGAACTCCCAGTGCACCACCTGTTATGGATTTTGGAAGAGAAATGAATGAGTTTGAGGTAAAAAATGAGCAGATAAATAATCAGGTAAATATGGAGAAAGAATCAGAAAATGGTTTGCCTGGTGATGATGTAGTTTTCTCAGGTCAAAGAGGAGTATCTGTAAAATCTGAGGTCGATGAAAGGTATGAAAGTGGGCATGCCATTGGCCTTGTCGTACAATATTTGCATTGGTAGATATATCACACTTTTTTCATTTTAACTTATTGTACTTTGCAGAGAAGATGAAGAAACTCTTGGGGAAAAAGAACCACCTGCCTCTGTCTGGCACGCAAATTCAATGAATCACTCACCATATTATGATGCCAGGTATTATTCTCGACTAATCTAAGCCCCCGTTTGGCCACCATTTTTTGAAATGAAAATGGACGGAATTGTGTTTTTTTGAAAAATGAGTTGTTGAAAAAGAAGGAAAACTTTTCGATTTACATGTAATATTATTTTATGAAAATCGTATGGCTAAAAATAGGAGAGAGAAAAATGAAATGAAATTTAATGGGAGCTAATTACTATGACGCGTCAACCATTTTCAGATATGTAACCTAGCCAAATTGTTAAGGTTTTGTTGAATTCCATTCACATGCATTCAGTAGATTATGTAGTTGACAGGTAACCTTATTGCCAAAACCAAATGCATTGGTTCGTTA